GTAATAAACATGTACTTATTAGAGAAATGTACTAACATATTTAGGGGTAGAATATCATGCTTTCCATGACTTACTTTATAATATGTCAGAAATAAGTGAACTAATGCATAAATAAAACAAATGTGGCAAAATGTTAATAATTATTAAACCTAGTTAGTAGGCATTTGGGGGTTCATGATGGTATTCTTTCTACTTTTCATGTCTGTTCCACTCACTCTGATGCCAGCACCCTGATCCAGGCCACCATTTTGTCTTGCATGCATTATTGTATAGACATTTAACAAGTCTCCCTGCGTCCACCCTTGTCCTTCTTCCATCTATTTTCAGCATAGCAGCAAGGGCAATCCTTTTAAAACATCACTCCTCTGCTTCAAATCCTCCTCATCTCTCTTAGAGAAAAACCAAAGTCTTTCCAACAGCCTGTGTGATCTGGTCCATCAGTAACTTTCTGGTCAGAAGTTTCCCATCACCTCTTTGGCTTCCCTTCCAATCCCCACATTGCTTACTTCTCTGGAGCCAGATTAGCCTCCTTATGAGGTGTGACATGAGGTCACTCTCGACACAGGGCTTTTGCAGCAGCTACTTCCTCTGCCTGGAAAGGTATATCCTGTGTATATGTGTCTGGGTAGCCATTTTATTTCCTTCAAGGGTTTGCCCAAATAACGCCTTCTCAATGACCATCTGTTACGGACTGAATACACGTATCTTCCCAAAATTCATATGTTGAGGTCCTAACCCCCAGTGTGGCCACATTTGGAGTAAGAAAGTAATTAAGGTTAAATGAAGCCATAAGAGTGGAGCCCTGATCTGATAGATATTAGTGTCCTTATAGGAAGGGACACAAGAGAGCTTGTTCTCTCTCTCTTTCTCTCTCTAACTCCCCAACCCCAATCTCCACTCATGCACCAAGGAAAAGCCATGTGAGGATACAGCAAGAAGGCAGCCATCTGTAAGCCAGAAAGAGAATCTTCACTGGATAACAAATGGGCAGGAACCTTGATCTTAGACTTCTATCCCACAGAACAGGGAGAAAATAAACTTCTGTTGTTTGAGACACCCGGTCTATGGTATTTTGTCATGGCAGCCTGAGCAGACTAATACACTACTCTATTTAAAATTGAAAGATACAACTCCCTACACTTTTTCCCTTCCCCTTCCACTCCTCTCACTCTTTTTCTTTTCTCCATAGCTCGTATCATCTTTTAACATATGCTATAATTCATTTAATTTTTTTTCTTATTGTTTATTGTCTGTCCTTCCCTCTAGACTGTAAGCCCCCTGAGGACAGGGGTCTTTATTTTATATGAAATTATTCCAAGTTCTGAGAATAGTACTGGGCACATAGTAAATGTTCA